CATGAACATTCATGTGCAAGCTTTTTGTTCTGGGTCTCTGTTTTCAATTCTTTGGGGGTATACATCTAGGAGTGGAATTGCTGGGTCATATGATAATTCTGTTTAACTTTCTGAGGAACTGCCAAACTGCCTCATTGGCTGTACCATTTTACATTCCCACCAGTGATGTATGAGTGTTCCAATTTCTCTACATGCTGGCCAACACTTGTTATTTTGCTTTTTTAAAGAAAAATAGTAAAGCCATCCTCATGGATGTGAAGTGGTATCTCATTGGGGTTTTGATTTGTAATTCCTTAATGACTAATGATATTGAGCATCTTTTCATGTGTTTGTTGGCAATTTGTATACTTTGGAGAAGTGTCCAAGTTCATTGCTCAGTTTTTAATGGTTTTTTTGTTGTTGAGTCTTATGAGTTCCGCATATACTCTGCTTATTAGACCCTTAACAGATAATACGATTTGCAAATATTTTCTCCCATCCTGTAAGTTTTCTTTTCACTTTCTTGATAATGTCCTCATATTTTTTAACTTAGTTTTTTTAAGTAATATGTATATTTGGAAAAAAAACTAAACAGTACAAATGGGTGAGTTTGTGTATCCTTTTAGTGACAATCTGTGCATATACACACAAATGTAAATGTCTTTTCTCTCCTCCCTCTCCCTTTTTTATATAAATGGTGCTTTTTTTCCACTGAATGTGTCTTGGCAATAGTTGTATTTCACTATATGTATATCTACCTCAGTTTAACAGGTGTGAAGTATTCCATTGTATAGATACAGCATAGTTTATTTAACCAATACCCTCTTTTGTGGACATTCAGGTTGCTTGAAACTGCTGACTGTTAATATATATACAAGTTAGTATAGATATATACAAGTTAGTGTATCTCCAGGATAGATGCTGAAAAGTGGAAACTTATTAAGTATGGTTTTCTTCATATTTGGAGGGGGTTTCCTAAGCAGTATTAATCTGCTAAATTAATAAAAATGTCATGTTGGTTAGTATTTTTTATGTTAAACTTCATAGTCTCTCTCCTCATATATATATATTATATGAAAAAAAATAGAAGTAGCAGAACCAGCCTTACACAAACTTATAAAAAAGAAAGCTGGCCCTTCCTTTTCTCAACTCTGTTATACTGTTTTCCCTTCTAATCTCCCTGAGAAACAGTTGTTCTCAGCTAGGAAACAATTTTTCAGTATGCCATACTTTCTAGTGTTAAATTTTAACCCTTCTCTGGTTGTAGAGAGAAAAGCATAACATGATTTTTAGAGCAGAAACTTCTGAGCTAGCAAATCCTCAATTTTTAAAGTGCAAGAAAAAGACCCTGAGGACTGCCCTGCTTTTTCTGCAGTTCACGTCAGTGCTAAGAGAGCCCAAGTCTCCAGTTTCCCACAACAGGGAAATAATACTCACTGTAGTGTCTCACCTCATTCTTGTGAAAGAACTTGAAAATGCTACTTCTGTCTTGGTAGAGGTTCTGGGGAGCAGAAAAATTATGACTTTCTCTGACACTAAAATAAATCACACGTCTGTTTCACCAACTATATCTAGGACCTCTAACCAATACTGGTACATGAAAAAGTGATTTTTGTTTGGTTTTTTTTTTTTTGCGGTACGCGAGCCTCTCTCCGTTGTGGCCTCTCCCGTTGCAGAGCACAGGCTCCGGACGCGCAGGCTCAGTGGCCACGGCTCACGGGCCCAGCTGCTCCGCGGCATGTGGGATCTTCCCAGACCGGGGCACGAACCCGTGTCCCCTGCATCGGCAGGCGGACTCTCAGTCACTGCGCCACCAGGGAAGCCCGAAAAAGTGACTTTTAAAAGTATCTTAAATTGTTGGAATTCCCCGGCGGTCCAGTGGTTTAAGACTGCACTTTCATTGCCGAGGGCGGGGGTTCGATTCCTGGTCAGGGAACTAAGATCCCACAAGCCGGTGGTGCAACCAAAACAAAAAAATAGAGTGCTTGAATTTTTTTAAAGGTATCTTAAACTGTTATTTTTGTTTCTTGATTTCAAAAATGACTGAAAATGCTTCTGTCAACCACTATAAAAGCATAGAGATTAAACAAATGATGTTGGAAGTGAATCTTTTATATAAGTTCATAACAATTTTGTTACTGAGAATATGCTTTACATTTTGATATCCCTGAGAATAGGCAATTTAATAAGGTAACTGATCTGTAAAGGAATCTGTATTTTTCATGAGTATATGTTTATTGAACTCCCTTTATGAAGAGGTCACTGTTAACACTTGAAATATAAATATGAGGTACGGTCCTTGTCTTATTGGAGCATAAACTGTTTGGTAAGATGAAACATTTCAGACAATGTTACTCTCCCCTCAGTTTTCAATCTAGTGTTCAGTTCACTTAGATAAAGTATTTTGATTGATTATAATTCTGATCCTTTAGTATAAAAGAATAAATGTACCGCTAGAAACTATCTGAAGATGGTACCATGGATTCAGATGGTTCTATCATGAACTAAAGCAAGATACCCTTAAGAGGTAACTACTTAGAAGACAACGGCGTACTTTGTAGTTTTAGTTCTAAGAATCTGATGTATATTTTAATTTAGCATCTTGGCCATGGTATTTGATTTTAACTGGGAAGAAAGTTACTGATACCCACTGGCTAAGTTAACTGCATAACAGTTTGAAGAAACTGAGCAATGGGAGGATCAAGGCCTAGTACAGTAGGTCCAGAGACTAGATTTCTATCCTTAACTTGAAGGCAAAACAAGCACGCTTAAAATGCACATTTATGGGATAAATTAATCCTTTTCTCCTAAGTAAAAAGTGTCACAACTTCGTTGACATCTATAGTGGACAATGCGCTACAATATCCAGATATAGTCTCACGTCCCCATCCCCACACACACACACCCCTGAAGCACTCATTTCCCAGCTTCTGGGAATGTTCGTGGCTGATGGCTCTCAGCTGAGTCTCTCAGGTGGTGTCTGCACCCCAAGGTTCAGCTCCTTGCATCCAATGACTGACGACACAAGGATGTAAGTCCCACCCCCTGCCTCAATACCCAGCTTCCGGCCACCTCAGCTCTGAATTCCGCTGAGGACTTTCCTGACCGCATCCCAACCCAATTTCTTCCTCTTTCCCAGTCCTGCTACTTTTACTCCGTCAGAGGTGTCGCTCTCGAAAGCATTCTCATTTAAACGTTCTGCACCTTAACCTTCACCTCTGAGTCTATTTCCCTAGGGAACTGGACCTGTGGCCACATTTTGAACTCAAAGCCAGGAAAAAATCATTTGATTTTCACTTAGACAACCAAGCTATTCCTGCTGAATTTTTCTCACCTCTTCTTCTATTTGTAGGCCAAGGGGAAAGAACTACCTTCAGCCTTTTCTGAGTCTTACTGTTTTATGAAAATGTAAAAGAAGCCGATCACTGCTTCCTTCACTTGGTAAAGCATCCAGGCTCCCCGCCCACTCCATGGACACCCCAAGACATTCTAATACCTCTCTCCAAAGTCAGGGATGTTAAAGGAAAGCAGCTGAATTCCAATTAGTATCTTCATTTCTAATATCATACCTAGATGGGATTAGTCTTTCATTATGGTGTTGCTGATGTTGCAGGGCCTTCATTTTACTTTTGTTAAAAGACCTTCCATGCCTATGGTGCAGTACTGGCATTTTATGGATTCAGTAAGCTGTGGCTATTTCAATTTCATGTGAATTTATCAGAATTGGGTTGAACTGGTACATCACAATCTCAGAACTTTAAATTCACCTTTATTAAAGCCAAACCTCTATTTAAAATATGTGTAGAAATCAAAGTATTTGGTGTTTCCACATCCAAAATATTCACTAAAAGGTTAAGAGGGAGGAGGTCTTGTTTCTAAGGGTTTACGAAGGAAATCTATCTCTAGTACCAAATACCAAACTGAGGTTATAATATTCTTTGGATCTCAATCTGTTTAAGCTGTTGTTTAAGCTTTTACATTGTGAAAAAAGGGCAGGGTATGTGTGTGACTTCACAAAGTCTATCAAAGATAATCATAAAACAATGTAGCAATCAATTAACCCAGAGATCAATACCCTCTAAATGTAATGTATCTTTTTCAATCAACAAATATTTGGTTATGATATACTAGATACTGGGGAGGCTATAATGAAAGGGGCAGAAGCATTCTGGCCCTCAAGAAGCTCACAGTCTTCTGGGGAGCACAGACATTGAATAAGCAATTACCAGTACAATACAGATGGAGCTTATACTTGGGGAGCTAACCTCCCATGGCGGGATGAGGTTTAAAACTTTTTTTTATTGTCATCCTATGCAGTATAAGGAGGCAGGGAAAGGCTAGGAAAGAAATACAAAAACAACATTTGACAAAGGGTAAAGCTGAAGGGAGAAACTATAGCTTTTGATTTGAAGATAACCTATTCCCAGCACATAGAGGTCCAAGATTTTAGGTGCTATCAAAAAGTAACTAAAATTTTATTTTGACTTACACCTTTGTTTATATACCTAAATCCGAAAGAAATTACGCCAGAAAGCATGTGAGACTTTAGAAAACTCACACCCTAATCTCAAACAAGCAAAAGTATTTAAGACCTAAGTGCAGTAGACAAAAGATTTCAAGAGTATTAACAGCTCAGGGAATGTCCATTAAACCTCTTGTTTGTTTTTTTGTGTTTTTTTTTCTTGCGGTACGCGGGCCTCTCACTGTTGTGGGCTCTCCTGTTGCGGAGCACAGGCTCCAGACGCGCAGGCCCAGCAGCCATGGCTCACGGGCCCAGCCGCTCCGCAGCATGTGGGATCTTCCCGGACCGGGGCACGAACCCGTGTCCCCTGCATCGGCAGGCGGACTCTCAACCACTGTGCCACCAGGGAAGCCCAAACCTCTTGTTTTATACTCAGAAAATTAGAAAACTGGGCTAAACGTATGTCTTACAATGTGTTTTAAATGATTTGCAGGATCTAGCCTCACCAAAACAAGCTCACTGCTTTGAAGATGCCTTTATACCAACCCTTCATCACAGCATCAGTGAAAATTGTTTATTGAGAGGGAGCAGTATGGGATACAGAAACAACATAAACCAAAATCGCACACTTTCCTTTAATGTTAATTGAATTTCAGAGTGAGTAAAACGTAACTAAAAAGTCACAGCAATGGGACAAAGTGCTTTGTTTTAAAACTGCACATTTGCTTTGCCTTTTGAGAACCTTTGGTTAGACTCTTTGTACAGTAAGCCATTTCATTACATATGGTTATATTCCCAGTCTAAGACCTTAATTGACACACTCAGTGACAACATTCTTATAAATTATAGCCAACTATAAGTCCTCCCTCAGGCTTCTCCTCTGTGCTTTGTAAATATGTACATCTTTTTCAGGATCATAGTGAACCTTCCTCACAGTAAACTGCCTCTCAAGCATCGCTAAGAAGTTGTGATCCCGTTCATAGCGAATTCGGCAAGCTAAAAGAATCACAGAGTGGTTGCTACAGAGATGTTCCAATGTTTGAAGAAGATCTGTGAACGTTTCTTCTAAATATATGATATCAGCTCCAAGTATCAGGTCAAATTCTCCAGGTGAAAAACTCCCCAAATTCTGTCCCCAAGTCAGCTCCTTAACAACAGCTCTGGGCTGGATATGGGGAGGTAAGTTGGCTTGAACGTTTGATTTAAGAAACTCTAATGCTACTTTTCGATCCGTGATAGTCACATGAGCACCTAGAACATGGGACAGAAAGTAATGCACACATCAGTACAACTAATAGGTAGAGGGATCAAGTTAAACAGCGGGGTGAGTGTCTCTAAATATTCCACCTCATAGACACAGTATGATGCCTTCGTGGAGAGCTGTGACACGTCAGAACCATGGCCAGATGCTCCTTCTCTACTGCCTGTAGGTAAAAGTGAAACTTGGTTTGCCTCTATGACACACTTGCTGTTTGCTGAAGTTATGCCTATTAAATACAGGTGATAAGCTAGCTGATGCTTCTGAATTGTGCAGACAGAAGTGGCCCACCCTTCACAGGTATCTACCATTATACTTCATTCATTAGGTCACCATCTTCAAGTCAGAAGGCCTCAGGGTAAAATGGAGTCCAAAGATGAAAAATCTGGGAGCCAACGATTATGAGGATGACAAGATACCATAAACCGGGAAAGGTTCCTTTCTGGGGCTAAAGCTTTAAAAAGAATCAAGGAAAAGATTAACTGGCTACTAAGAAATCTCAGTCTTCCTCTCCTTATGCTGTCATGAAGCAGACCATCTATATGTATTCATGCAATTCATATATAATTATTGAAAAATAGTAGTTAGAAATTACTAGATTGTATTAAAGTACTGTAGGTTAAAATGTGAGGTAATGTTCTCTATGTGCTAAGTTTCTACATGCAATGTGTAAAATGAATGAGGCAATATTTTATTAATCTGTTTCTTGAGGGTTGTTTACCATGAACCAAGAGATCCAACTCTTTGAACCAATATGACCGAGAGAAGTCTGAACTGGTAGGTATCCTTCAGGAGAAGCAACCACATAAGGTCAGCCCTGAAATACCTCATCTACATTGTAGTAACACTATAGTACATGTAATCCTGCTTGGTTTTGACCCCATAAATTCTGAAACTTAAAAATTATGTTTCACTCTTTCCTAAAATTATTTCTCATCTGCTTCCTTCAGTCTGTAATCTTCATGGGTAATCCCCCAAGAGGATCCCAGACCATTTCAGTGGCAGCTTATACTGAATGCTTCTTATCTTGACATGTAACATTAGGACAGTATGTAATTCAGTTTGACATTTGACTCAGTCCTGAGTGTGATACTATGAAAATGTGCAAGTTGTTAGATGCATGCACCTACCACTTTGACCGTTTGTTGCTAGACAGAGTGCTGCCCAATGAGCAAAATCCAGTGATACTTTTCATCTCTCCTGATAACAGAAATCACAGACAGCCTTTTCCTGGTTTAACTTAGAACTTTACCTCTGGATTTCCTGACAAGTCTACAGAGCACTCTGCTGGGAATACTGGAGTGATCTGGTCTTGTGCATGTCACCTCAGTGTTCCTGTTAATAGCTCTTAGATGGAGACCTCCTCTAACTCCTGTCTCAGGGATTTCTGAGGCTACTTCTAACCTGCCAGGTGTTCCAGGAGTTTCAGTAGGATCTTAATATCGGTTGACCATTCCCCATAATGTCCATCAATTCTACAAACATCCAAGTGTCTACCAACAGCATGGGAGAAAAACCCCTACCCTCATAGAACTTACATTCAAGTGAGGAGATAGGCAGCAAGAGGCGTTTTTAAAAGTAGGATATCTAGTATGTTAGTTGGAGATACACACTAAGGAAAAAAATAAAGCAGGAAAGAGAGACATAAAACATCAGGAAGTAAGAGAGTTGGGTAGAAAGGGAAGGCCTCACTGAGAAGGTGACTTAGGTGAGGGAATAACCGAATACATATCAGGGGGAAGAACATTCCTAGCAAGTAGAAGAGCAAGTGCAAAGGCCTATAGGGGCAGGCAAGGAGGAGGCCAGAGGGGCTGGAAGGAGGGATAAAGCAGGAGGAGACAAATGAGAGAAGTAACAGGTTAAAGAAGTAACCGGAGGGAGGCAGAGCAGCTGGGGTTCACAGGTTAAGTTCCAAAAAGGCTCTGGCTTTTTCTGAGTGAGATGGGAAGCCACTGGAGTGTGCTGAGCAGAAGTACTAGTGATCTGACTTAGGTTTTTTTTTTTTTTTTTTTTTTTACATGGGCCTCTCACTGTGGAGGCCTCTCCCGTTGCGGAGCACAGGGTCCGGACGTGCAGGCTCAGCGGCCATGGCTCACGGTCCCAGCCGCTCCGCGGCACGTGGGACCTTCCCAGACCGCGGCACGAACCCATGTCCCCTGCATCGGCAGGCGGACTCTCAACCACTGCGCCACAAGGGAAGCCCTAGTTACTCGATTTTTATCACCCAAATATTCAGCTCACAGAATATTATCATCTTGCCTGTGGTTTTGTTTTGGGAGTTTTTGTTCGTTTATTTGGGTGAAGGGTATGCAGGATGTGTTAAGTTTCTTTTAATCTATCAGTTTCCTGTATTTATTTATTTGTTTGTTTGTTTATTTTTCTCCTGCAATTTAGGGAAGAAACAAATCATCTGTCCTGTAGTTTCCCACAATCTAGATTTGGCTGATTATGCCATTTGTATAGTTTGACATGCTCCTCTGTGCTCTGTATCTCCTGTAAATTTGTTTGACTTGAGTCTGATTTTTTGAACAAGAGTATTTCAGAGGTGGTGGTGGTATTTTTCATCAAGAGGATGTAATATCTGGTAGGCTCTATTTTTGTGATGTGAGCAACCACAAATACCCAATGCCCAGATCCTTTATTTATTAGATTCGTTTTGCATTTATTTGTTGAGTAAGCTTCTTTCAATTACTACTTGGTTATTCATTTTGTAGAGGAATTGTTTGAATAGGAAAGGCGGGATAAATTTTGCTCTCTCCCCTTTTATAACCCAGATTTCAAAGGGTTGGTTTCTAAGTATCCTCCAAAGATGACAGATGGGGTTTACTTTAGTGTTGTTGTATCATGAACTATGCATTAAACATATCTGATGTATTTCAACCCATGCCATCATCATTATCGATGTTCAAATTGTCTATCTTTTGCCAATGGACTTTTGACACAAACCCAGTCATCCTCGATAGCTTCCTTGCTATCTGGTACGACAAGATATTCCAGGGTCAGCTTATACATTTCCTGCTACAGAACCATAATCAGCCACTTACTAAGTTTTATTTTTTACGTTTTGGACGGGAGGAATAACAGCAAGCTTGTATGCTGATCAGAACGATCAGGTAGAAGGAGGGAAAAGTGATAATGCAGGAAAGAGAACCACCAGAACAACACCCTTGAACAGGCAAGAGAGGGCTGGCCCCGGGGAGGAGACACAGTCCACCTGCATACAGCATCAGGGACAAAGGCAGACCGTGGATGCAGACGCAGGGGGTGGTTAGAGACAGTGCCGGGACGTTACAGAAGTTCTCTTGATTGCTTCAATCTTCTCAGTAAAATAAGGAGAAATGTCATCAGCTCAGAGTGAAAGCGGAGAAAGGAGGACTGGAGGTCAGCAGAGAGGGAGCAGAGCTGGACCCCTCAGCAGCACGAAGAGCCCCCCAGAGGGTCCTGACCAGGAATTTAAAATGAGACCCAGAAGTAGTCCGTTTCCTCCAGCCACATTCAGCTGCCTGGGTGCAGGCCTGGAACAAGTGGAGAGCTGCATGTAACCTTGTTTTGAGCCCAGTGAAGAGGATGAAGCAAGGAAGTGCAGGGTATTGATGGTACGGGAAGATGGTAATAAAATGACTGCCCGTGAGATTTATGCTGGGTAAGGAGGGAGATGAGACAATATTTAGTTCATGAAAAACTAATGGAAACTGACCCAATAAGACAACATAGCCTGCTGTCACTCACTTGGTAATGGAAAAAGAACATGTAAACATTTGTCGCTACTTTTAGTTTTTAGTTTTGTAAGCAACGCCTTAATTTATTCAAATGTTGGAGCACAGAGTGTGCGCTAAAGATACAGAGATGGGTAAGAAAGTCCTTGCCCTCTAGGAACTGAGAGTCTCATGGGAGAGATACACATAAGTGTAATTATGAAGCAGTGTAGGGAGTAAAATATAGGAACATGGGTGTGCTAGGAAATTATGTGGTCACAAAGGAAAAATTCTTCGAGAGGAGCAGAGGTCGAAGAAAGATTTCGGAAGGAAAGGAAATCTGAGCTTACACTTGAAAGATGTGGCATTAACCAGAGGAAAGAGGTGAAGAGGGGAATTCAAGGCAGAAGGGACAGGCCAGAGGCAGGGTGTGTGTCACTGGAACTTCACTCAGTGCAATTGTGCTGAGAAAGTCAGCAAACTGAGATTACAGAGCCTCACTAAGAAGCCTGGGATTTGGCCTGCAGGCAATGGGAAGGCACAGGGTCACCCCATCACTTCTGCGTTTTACATGGGCCACACTGACAGCTATTGGGAAAAGTGGGTTTGATAAGACAGAGGTAGAAAGGTCAGGTGGGAATGTGGATAGAATCTTGCAGGAGACAGCTGATGAGCACTCCAGCCAGACAGTGGGAATGGAAAGGGAGAAATGGAATCAAGAAATAGCTAAAAGACCCAGCAGGGCTCAAGGGCCGGGTGGGCAGCGGGCAGGGCAGGTCAAGGAGCTGGCCTGAGTGACTACTTGGATAGTGATGCCAACTCAGAACAAAAGAGAAAGGACAAGTTTGGAAAGGGAATTAGAGTTCAAGTTTAAACACGTGCTGACAAATAGCCACGTAGAGACATCAACAGCTTTCATTTAAACGTACAAGTTGAAAGTTCAGTGGAGACTTGCACTGGAATTACCAGGGCACGAACCCGTGTCCCCAGGCGGACTCTCAACCACTGCGCCACCAGGGAAGCCCCTAAAAGACAATTTCTTGCTGAGCAGTATATTTAAGACAGCGGTCCTTAGACTTGGTTGGGCATCAAATCGCCTGGGAAGCTTTTAAAATCCAGATTCCTGACCCCAACCCAACTTACAGAACCCTGTCTTAAAGATGTGATTTTTTTTTTCCCTAAGAATAGTTTTCAAGTAGTATAAAGGCTGAAGAGGTTTTTAAACGAAGAACCAGGATTTGAGAGTCAGAATTGGATTCAAATTCTAACTCCACAATCCATTAGCTTGTGACCTTGGGCAAGTTACTTGACATCTATTAAGCCTCCATTTCACCACTTTGAAAAGAGCTCCAAGTAGACCTACTATGCCGGGCTGTGGTGAGGATGAAGGCCATAAAGACACAACACCCAGAACACAGGAACCGCCCAGGAATTAGCAGCTGTTTTTTCTTTTAACAAGAAAATCTCATCACCCTAGATTAACAGTCTGCATATCACTGACCATTTGAGGGGAAGGCTTTTTAATGTAATTTGTCTTTCCCCCCCCTCTCGCTCCAGTTAGAGTTAGAATGGATGCTTCCTGAGAGCAGTGACCTGCTGCCCTAAAACCATGACAGGCACGCCATGGGTGTTCCCCAGAGTCGGGAATCAATGAGTAAGGTTACAAAAAATGAAAATAGCTTAAAAAGGGGAACAATCAACCTCTTTCTGACATTTCCAAAGCACTACCTATTCTAGTTCTGTTTCCATTTTAAAGAGATTAACTTTTTCTTACTCTTAGGTTTCAGCATCAAAATTTCTCCAGCCTAATACTTTGTAGCCACAAATAATGAGCATGAAAAGCATGCCATAGCACAGAGAAATGTGCATGACATGTTAAATGAAACATCATATATGTGTGAAAATATATACGCACACACATAGGCACACATATGGAATCACGATTATAACTATGATTAAAATACGGATGGGGAAAAGGAATAGGAGGAAATATACCAAAATGCTAATGGTAATTATGTTGCAAAGTCATGAATAAGCAGAATCTTTGGTGGGTTTTTCCTTTTTTTTAGACTGCTTCTAGGGCTATTTTTGTAATAGAGTTTTATCATTTTTATAACAGAAACAGTAATTTTCATGATTTTCTAGTTCATCTCTTATTCCAGAACGATTTGGGTATCTCCTGTGTGCCAGCTGCTGTACTAGGGCCAAGGACACACAGAATGAGACATGGCCCCATTCCTCAGGAGCCTCAGCCTGCCAGGTGAGACAGACACATGAAACAACTGCCTAAAGTGAAATGTGACAGAGCTGGGACGGAGAACACCGAGCGCTGTGGGGAAGAGAAATAAGGGAGCAATTAATTCTGCTTTGGGGCAACCACAAGAACACCGTCTGCCATTCTGCTGTTCTCGCCCCTCGCAAAGTCCCCATCTTTTGTGGCAACAATTAACTAGTCCTTCGCTCTGTGACGGTCTTTGAAGAGCCTTATGCTGGCTTTCCCAAGCCCGCAGGTCCAGATTTCAGGATCAGAAATGAAAAGGAGAGAACACTTGTTGAGCATTTACTTGGTGCCAGTCGGCGAGCTAACAGATTTCTATGCATGCTCTCATTTGATCCTTGTTGGTCAGTCACTATGGTTATTATCCCCAGTTTATTGGGAAACTGAAGTTGAGAGATTCGGCAACTTGCCCAAGGTGACATAGCTAGTAAGAATTAAAGGTGGTCAGAGCCTGTGGAGAGTGGACTTGTGGTTGGGGGATTTGAGGGCGTGGTGGTGGGGAAGAAAGTACTGGGAGTTTGGGATTGGCAGATGCCAGACTATTGTATGTGGAATGGATGGACAGCAGAGCCCTGCTGTGTAGCACAGGGAACTAACTGTCTTTAGCATCCTGCGAGGGACCGGAACGGAAAATGCGTGTGTGCACGGCGGGGCCGCCTTGCTATGCAGCAGAAGTGGGCACGGCACTGTGAATCAACTATGCTTTGATAAAGTTAAATTGAAACAAAAAAAGGTCAGAGCCAAGTGGGCCTCTAACCCTTCGCAGGTCACCACGCTCTGCTGTCTCGACAGCAGTGAGGAGGCCCTGTTCTCAGGGGGAGACAGAAGAAACCTCATTTCCCCTTCCAGCTAAGTCCTCTCAAACGTCACAGAGACGGGACTTAGCGCCATGGAAAGAAAAGAACCTGGGCCTCTGTGTCTGACAAGCCCGGTTTGAGTCTCGGGTCACCACTGACCAGGACTTCAGAAAGTGGCTTAATCTCCCGGAATCCCAGCTTCACTGGAAAAATGAAAATTAAAAATATACCTAACATACACGGGGACAATATAAGGTCAACCTGAGGAGATCAAAAGGTGGTGTATCGGCTAGGGCCTCCTCAGTGGCTGAAAGTGCTGTGGTGTCAGACAGATGGACCTGCATCAGTTTCTATGTTCACACGTCCACCCATCGCTCCTGCCCATGCTCCCCATCAAATCCCGGGAGGCACAATCTAAACAGAGAAAGGAATACTGAAAAAGATATGTTACCAGAAAAAGGACAGGACAAAAGCGGGCCTTTAGTGGGTGCTCAAGTACCTGTACACACTTGATGGAACTCTAGATCCTGACCACCCAAGTGTGGTCTGAGGACCAGCAGTTACGTCATCATCATCATCACCTGGGAGCTTGTTAGAAATGCAGGCTCTCAGGCCCCACCCCAGACCCACAGAAGCAGAAACTGCATTTTAGCAAGAGCTCCAGGTGACAACACTGAAGTGGGGAATATTATACACTGTATCTCAGAGGCTGGTCTATCCAATCAAGGCACAGCTTGAAATGTATGAGCAGGAAGTTGTAGAAAAGAGTCATCAATGAATTATAAAATAGAAATGAAGCTTAAAAATACTCTAGGCCTAAACTAATGTCTGTATGCCAAGCAAAACACGACAAACCTTGGTATCATTTCAGAACTGCACACTGTTTAATAGATGTCAGTACAAACTGCAGGGGGGGCCAGCCCTCTCTAAAAGAAAAAACCAGCAAAGCTTCCTCAGCAATGAAGTTAAGAGACAGCCCCTAAGCAGTAAAAAGCTATGTACACAAATAAGATAACTCTCTTTGAACTCAGGTGCCTTAAGATCATAGTATGGGCATCACAGAAGTGAAGTGGGCAAAGCAATCTCCCGTGAGAAGTATAAATAATAGGATGAGAGAGGGAGAAGGAATTAGCCTTCCTGGAGTTGAGAGCACTGCAGTTGGCCTGTGACTCATAATAAGTACAGGGGGAAAAAAAGTAACACGGTAAGAGGGAAACTAACAATGAGCTCTGAGTCAGGAAAAGGTGCCCCTCCATGAGTTCCACTCACACAGGAGTGAGCCATGAGTCACACTCACCCAGCAGGGCAGCCACCATGCCCACCAGCCCCGTGCCAGCACCCAGCTCCACGGCAGAGCAGCCCCTGAGCTCCACAGCTCCCATCTCCAGATATGTGGCCAGAATGATAGCCTGAGTCAAAACACAGCATGATAATTTAGGTCAACAAGCGCTTTAGGGCCTGAAGGGTTTCAAGCAGGCTACATACTCCAAGAAGACATCACATACCCCCCTCCCACCGCAAGGTTCAATTCCCAGTGTAACAGCTCACACAGGAACTCAGCTGCTGCTGGGAGGTCACCTGGAGCAAGCACAGACACCGAGCTCCCCAGCACAGCTGCCCGAGGCCCCACCAGAGGCCCTTACGGGGGACAGCAGTGGTTAGTGACACTGACCACCCAAGATAGGATCCTGCTGAATCTGGGAAGGCTAATTTCTTACTGTGTCACAGCATTTTTACACTCAAGGTTTATAAAATCACTCTGGTAGAGCTGACATGAACAGTCTCTGTGATTCTGCTTAAAGGAATGTCTAGTTCCTAAACCAAGTTCAAGTCAGCAAGGCCACAACCAAAGGGAAAAAGCAGAGCAGCACCAAGGCTCCTGGAGTTTCCTCCCTCTCTCCTCCTCTCCTGCGTCCCTAACGCTCGTCACCCCAGAGGAGCTGGGCATCAAAAGGGAAGTTTTAGCCAAAGGTTTGGACTTGATGTGTGAGTTAGCATTTGCATATAACTCTATAAATCACTATATACTGTTAACGTGATTTTAAAATATAATTTGTTCTTCATGGCCACATACTATTAGCATATAACGTAATTTTAAAATATAATTTGTTCTTCATGGCCACGTACTATTAGCATACTTAGCAATTCCTCTTCTTGGTGAGAATGTAGGTGATTCGCCCATTCCTCACTGTTATGTATCTTTATTACTCCTTCTGAGAAAACTTTTCTTGTAGTTACCCTGGACTAGATTCCTAGAAGTGGTATTACTGGGTTACGATATATCAAGACTTTTATTCCTAAGTGTTTCTCTAACACCCCTGATACAATATTAAGATTGTAAAATTGTATCTACACCAATCATTTAGCCAACATTCACTGAGCTCCCACCGAATCCCAGGTGTGGCTAGATGCTTAGGGCAAGTCTCTGGCACAAGCAGCTGAAAAAACAGTGCTGGGAGAGAAAAAAGTAAAGCAGCAATTATAGTATAATTTTTGATCATTACAACTATGGAAAACTTAAAGAAAACACATGATCTTCATTTTTGGCTTTGTCAGTTTACAATATTCTTTGTGCAATGTTAAACTTAAAAACTAACTGAATAATTGTCCAAAGCAGCTAGGGGCCCCAGTCCTCCCTCTTCCGTGCTAGGTAAATTACTGGTAAGTCATTTAATTTCTTTCAGTTTTCTTCATTCACCCTTAAAATGCAATCTATTTGGTGGGGAGGGAGCAGGGAAGTGATTCTAAGGACTTTTTTTTTGGAAGGGGTGGAGCGATGCAATGTTTTAAGATTCAGTAGTGATAGTTGCACCACTCTGAACTTACTTAAAAACACACACACACACTTTAAATAGGTGAAATGAATTACGGTATATGAATTACAACCCAATAAAGCTGTTACTTTTTAAAAATAGAGACGAGTCTTATAATCAATGGCTGATGCTAAGAGGCTCCCGGGGCTTACTTACCGCGTCCCAAACCACCGCTGCGACTCCCAGTTGCTTCCAGTCCTGCCGGATCTGTATCGTGTGGTTTGCCAAGGAGAAGGTGGCAAGAGGCTTGTGAAATCTCTGCAGCCCCTTTTCCGCGGTCTCTTCATAGGGCACCAGGGCCATCTCGCCCGCGCCCAGCTCTCTGCTCGCTCAAAGCTGTGAGGCAAAAGAATCCTGAGTGAGGTTCTAGCCAGAAAATGCATTATCTCTCTAGTAGCTCCAAATGCTTCTTAAGGCCGTTTTACAAGTTCAAAACAAACGGGGTTGCGGGAAGCCTTTGTCTAATTCCTTTTGCCTGGCTCTCCTGGGAAGTGAGATTTCGCTGGGAATTCATGCCAAAGGTGCGGGATGGCTATGCACTCAGCTGTAACCACTCAGGGAATTTGCAGCGTGGTAAGAGTGAGCGAGGCGGAAGTGACAGCCCGGGGCCGCAGAGAAAGTACCGCTTCCCAAACTGCCCGGGCCCGCGTGGACTGCGGCTGCAACCCGCTGCGGTCTGCAGGGCATTTTTTCGTGTTTTGTTTTTCCCTCACTCCCTCTAAATCGGTGCGTTCAATTGCCACCACCACGGACTCGAACCTAAACTTAAACTGGGGGTTAACGGTATGATTATCCTGCTTTACGACGCCGGCTGGAGATACACGATCGACGCAGTTCCATTTCCTGGAGACTGAAAGTGAAAGACACTCGTGGATTCCGAGTCGCTCGCGGGTAACGAGACCCCGGGTCCGCGTGGACTCGGGCATCCGCGGCTCGGAGGCCTCCCCAGAGTCGCCCAGCCTGCCCCCCCGCCTGCCCCACTGAAGGGCCGACAGGTACGCACGTCCTTCCCGCGGGCCCCGCAGCTGCGGGAACAGGCGAGGTAGGGGCGGGAGCTTGGAGAGGAGCCCCCCTCCAGCGGCGCTGGCCCGCCACACCCTACGGTTCGCGGCACCGCGTCGCCTCCACTCACGGCTTGGGAGGCGGCCCCCGCCTGGTGCGCGAGACGCTTTCCCCGCCCCCAGCTCGACGGCGGAAAAATCCGCCTTAAAGGGCCAGAGAGCCGGTAGACCGGCGCCCGCGCTGGGGTCACGCGTTTCCGGTCCCCCGCCTTCCTAGGCCAAGCGCTCCCCGAGCGCCGGCGGCACGGAGTGGCGGGTGTGGGGCAGGGGCCCGGAGCGGGGATGCAGCGGCGGGGCGGAGGCGGTGCTCCCTCCGCGTGTGTCCCCAAGGTATTTGGGCCCCCAAGTCAGTTTTTCTGGCTGCCGAGGGCGGAGATGGCCGGCAGAGCTAGGTGCGGAGGCGCGGGGGGTGGGTGGTGCGCGGAGGCCGTGGGTGCCATGGCGACCGGGAACCCGGAAGCCACCTGCCTGGCGTTGGACAGGCGCTGGGTCCACTTGTATGTGTGCTCGTTCTCGCGCGCGCGCCTTTTTTGTGTGTGTTTTTACTGTGTGTGCTTGCTTGTTTTTAGTTTTAACGGTGTTGTCAGCTAGGAGGTATAGGAGAAAACTCCCGCCGAAGAATACGTGGTCCCACCCATCCGTATTCGTGTCACCAAAGTGAAGTACGAATTGGTGTAATCGCGCGCTCCGCGCCAATAGAGTGGGAAACGTGACCAAGCCCTTCGCGGAGCCCGCACGTGGCTCCCGGGACTGGATTGTTAAACGGGGCGGGGCGCGCTGTCGGCCCCAGTCACGGACTGGGTCTCCCTCCTCCCGGGGCAGAAGGTGAGCGCACCTGCCCTGGAGACACCTGTTCTTGAGGTGAGAGCTGCTGAGAGTGTGGCATCTGGCCGCAGGCCCCTGGGAAGCGCGCGGCTGGAGTGAACATCCAAGAATGTGACCGCGCTGGGAGACGGGGCGGGGGGCGCTTCCTTCTCCCAGGAAGGTTTCTTTTCCCTCTCGGACCTTGACCCGCGACCCCACCGGCCGCCGCTCTCTCATGGCGATTCTCAGCTCCGCCTGCACGTTAGGATGAACTGGAGCGCTTTTCAACTCCGCAGAGCTGGACGCTGCCACCGGAAAGGCTCAGCTGGTGCGCAGTGGGGCCCGAGCATTCCTGTTTTTCAGAGCTTCGCGGGTGATTCCCGCCGCCAGCCACCGGTAAGAGGCTCAGGCCAGGCCTAGACCACCCCCTCTCCTCGCCTCTCGCATCCCGCTGGGGGCGTGCTCCGCTCTCTGTCCGGGTCTTAGAAGGCTGGGACCTGGGGCTGCAAAGATGGTTTGAAGTGAACTTTGAAGGTCACCAGTGAAGGTCTTTTACTTTTTTTTTCTTTCTTTGCTTTACTCAATCATTCGTTTTTAACTTTTTTTTAATGTATTTTTGAGAGCAGTTTTAAGTTCACAGCAAAATTGGCAGAGATTTGTACAGAGATTTCCCAAACACTCCCTGCCCCATACACAGCCTCCCCCCTTCTCAACATCTCCCACCAGAATGGTACATTTATTACAATTGATGAACCTACACTGACACATTATTAGAACCCAAAGGCCACAGTTTACACATGGGGGCTCACTGTTGGTGGTGTACACCTTATGAGCTTGGACAAATGCAGAAGATATGTATCCACCATTATAGTATCATACAGAGTAGTTGCACTTCCTAAAAATCCTCGGTCCTCTACACATCCGTCCTTCCTCCATAACCTTTGGCAACCACTGACTTTTTTTTTTAACTCTCCATAGTTTTGCCTTTTACAGAATGTGATGTAGTTAGAGTGATACAGTATGTAGCCTTTTCAGATTGGCTTCCTTTGCTTAGTGTGCATTTAAGGTTCTTCCACGTCTTTTCATTGTTTGGTAGTCATTTCTTTTTAGTGCTGAATGACAGACATTCCATTGTATAGATGTAGTACAGTTTATCCATTTACCCAGTAAAGGACATCTTGGTTGCTTCCAGGTTTTGGCAATTATGAATAAAGCTGCTATAAACATTCCTGTACGGGCTTCTTTGTGGACATAAGTTTTCAGCTCCTTTGGGTAGATACCAAGGAGCATCATTGCTGAGTCATATGGTAAGAGTGTGTTTAGTTTTATAAGAAACTGCCAAACTGTCTTCCAAAGTGACTGTACGATTTTGCAGTCCCACCAGAAATGAGAGTTCCTGTTGCTTCACACCCTTACCAGCATTTGGTGTCGTCAGTGTTTTGGATTTTGGCTATTCTAATGGGCTTGTAGTGGTACCTTGCTGTTGTTTTAATCTGCAGTTCCCTAATGACATATGATGTAGAGCATCTTTTTTTTCCAGTTTTGTTGAGATGTAATTGATATATCACATTGTATTAGTTTATGGTATACAACATAATGACTTGATATATGTAAATACTGCAAAATGATTACCACAATAAGCTTAGTTAATATCCCTCATCTCACATAGTTACAGTTTATTTCCTTGTGATGAGAACTTTTAAGATCTACTCTCTAAGCAAATTTCAAATGTACAAAACAGTATTGTTAACTACAGTTACCATTCTGTACATTACATCCCCAGAACTTATAACTGGAAGTTTGTGCCTTTTGATCACCTACACCCATTTCCCCCACCTCCCATCCTCTGCTTCTGGCCACCACCAATCTGTTCTCTATCTCTATGAGTCCTTTTTTTTTTTTTTTTTTAGATTCCACATTTAAGTGAGTATTTGTATCATATAGTATTTGTCTGTCTGACTTATTTCACTTACCATAATACCCCCAAGGTCATCCATGTTGTTGAAAATGGCAGGATTTCCTTCTTTTTTATGGCCGAATAATATTCCCTGTGGGGAGGTGTGTGTATACACACACACCACATTTTCTTCATTCATTCATCTGATGATGAAACTTAGGTTGCTCCCACGTCTTGGCTATTGTGAATAATGCTGCATTGAAAACGAGAATGCTGATATCTCTTGAAGACAGTGATTTCATTTCCTTCAGAGATATATGTACCTACAAGTGAGATTGCTGGATTATATGGTAATTCTGTTCTACTTTTTAAATTTTAGAGGAATCTCCATACTGTTTTTCCTAGTGGTTGTACCAATTTACATTCCTGCCAACAGTGCACAAGGGTTTCCTTTTCTCCACGTTCTCACCAACACTTATTGTCTCTTACCTTTTTGATAATAGCCATTCAGCAGGTATGAGGTGATATCTCATTGTGGCATTGATTTGCATTCCTGTGATGATTAGTGATGTTGAGCACATTTTCATGTACCTGTTATTTGGACATTTTAAAATATGATTGTTTTCTTATTGTTAAGTTTTAAGAGTTCTTTGTATATTTTAGATAATAGTCCTTTATTAGATGTGTCTTTTGCAAATATTTTCTCCCAGTCTGTGGCTTGTCTTCTTATTCTCTTGACAGTTTCTTTCACAGGGCAGAGGTGTTTAATTTTGTTTCACTTCTTCTCATTTTTGTGTCTCATTAGGCTTCCAGCCCTGATTTATTTTATTTATTTTTTTGGCCACACCACATGGCATGTGGGATCTTAGTTCCCCCACCAGGGATCAAAACCCCGCCCCCTGCAGTGGAAGCGCAGAGTCTTAACCACTGGACTGCCAGGGAAGTCCCCAGAAATGTTTAATTTTAATGGAAGTTCAGCTTATCAATTATTTCTTTCATGGATCACGCCTTTGGTATTATACCTAAAACAGCATCACTTTACTCAAGGTCATCTAGGTTTTCTCCTATGTTATCTTCTAACAGTTTGATAGTTTTACATTTTAATTTAAGTCTGTGATCCATATCCAGTTAACTTTTGTGAAGGGTATAGGTCTGTGTCTAGGTTTATTTTTTGCATGTGAATGTCCAGTTGTTCCAGTACCGTTTGTTGAAAAGACTATCTTTTTCTCCCTTGCATTGGCTTTGCCACTTTGTCAGAAACCTCTTGACTGTATTTATATGAGTCAATTCCTGGGCTCTCTATTCTCCTCTGTTCTTTCACCCCAATACCACACTGTCTTCATTACTACATTTTTACAGTAAGTCTGAAATCAGATGGTATAAGTCCTCCAACTTTATTCTTCTTCTTCAATATTATTATTCATTTTTTCCTTTTTTATTTTTTTGGCCTTCTCTCCCTCTCCTTTCTTCTCTCCTAGTATCTCCTTTCTTTCTTACCTCCTCTACCTCTCTGTGTTGCTTCTCCCTCTCAACTTTCCTTTTTTTAAACCTCCCGTCTCCTTATTTTCTCTTTTCCTCTTTGTTCCTTTCCTTTGGGGAGCCATCACTGGGCACAAGAAAAAGGATGTGCTTTGGAGCCAGAGAACTATGAAAATTTAAATTCTGCCTCTGACAGTTTAATTGGTATGACCTTGAGTAAACAATTGACCCTTGAACAGCACGGGTTTGTACCATGCCGGTCCACTTATAGTCAGATTTTTTTCAATAGTAAATACTTCAGTACTATGTGACCTGCAGTTTGTTGAACCTGAGAATACAGGGGAACTGTGGATAGGAAGGGCTGACTATAAGTTATATGCAGATTTTTGATTGCACAGAGGGTCAGCACCCCTAACCCTCTTGTTGCTTAAGGGTTACCTGTACTGTAAACATCCCAAGATCCCAGGTTCCTCATCCATAAAGCCTGTCCCAGATTGTGCCCCTCCCCCATTCCTTCTCCCCGCTCTCCATGGTTTCTGCTGAAATCATACATAGGACTTTACGAAACAAAACCAAACCTCCTAACCTCTCCAGCACTCCACTAAACTGACATAGGACATCTGCCTCATTATATTTACTTACAGTTTATGTAGAAAGTTGTCATTTGCTTTTCCTTGTTAGTATTAGACAAGAGTGTCCTTTAGCCCAGCCAGTGTTCTGATTGGTAGCATTTGGCTCAGGGAGCACCAGAAAGAATGTTTAGGAACATATGCAACTCATGTAGACACTTAGTGTCTACTTGTTCCGTAAACAATAAGTGCAACTCTATTTTTTTTTTAATTTATTTGTTTTATTTATTTATTTTTGGCTGCATTGGGTC